GGTCTCCAGTCCAACCTCCTGCTCTGAGCAGGGCTGGCTGCCAAGCTAGACCAGGTCACTCGGGACCTTGCCCTGTTGTTTTGAAAACCTCCAAGGATGGAGGTGCCACCACCTCTCCAGACCCTGTCCCAGGGCCGCACCACCCTCCTGGGGAAGAAGTTTTTCCTTACATCCAACCAGTGTTTCCCATGTCACTACCCATGGCCTCCTGCCATGTCCCTCTGACATGAGCCTGGCTCCACCGCGATCCCAAAAATGCAGAATGACTTGTCACAAACGTTACTCACCAGCAGAGCCATGAGGATCTTTGCTGCTTTTCCTCGTCGCTTCTAAACACCACAAAGCAAATCCCAAGCAGAGAGCAAAGCTGTGGGGGTGAGCGCTGTGCACACCCCCAGCCGCAACCGCCCTCAGCATCTGCGTCCAGCTTTTTGGGAGAAGTTGAGTCCTGTTGATTTGAAAGCAAACAGAACAGCGATATTTGAAAGGCGTTTGCTGGAATTGCCCAAGTGAGTTTCTAAACCTCTTCTTGATAAATGCCATAGGATGGGGGATGACTTTCAGGCTAAGTTTTGACCTGTGCTGACACTGCGTTCATGATTCATAGTGCTCCTAAAAATCATGTCCCTTTGCAATGGCTGCTCCACACTAAGAGCCTGAAAGCCATGAGGGAAAACGCGGGCTCGCCTTTGAGACTGGCATGAAAGGCAGGGACACACTGCTTTTGCTAATGCTCCCAAAATATTACTCACTGTTTGAGTACAGAGGGGTCTGTGGGGAATTTACAAGTAAAATGCTGTTGAATTCATTCATTTAAATAGATAAGAAAGTAAGTTTGTTGAGAAATACAGCCTTCATCTCAAGCTGTTTTTTGGATCAGTGACCATGGCTTGCTGGGAGCCATAAGCGAGATGGACAAAATTCAAACATTGCTTCAAGATATCAGCTAACACAGACTTGGGAATTCAGAACCGCAAGGTCAGTATACATGTCCCGCTATTGCTGAACGGCAGAATTAGTCCAGCCGTCCCAACTGAGGCTTTCCCAGTTTGGGTGCTTTCCACAATTAACTTTTTTCTCTGCTTTATTGTTTGCAACGTTGGGTTTGGGGGTGATTCCCCCAGCCCTGTAATACCAAACCCCCTCCACAACCAGCACATGGGCCCAGCTTTTGTGTTTCAAGGGGCACTGTCATATATTGTGGTGGCATGCTGGGACTATTAAACTGTGTATTTTTGTTACCTGAGGAATGAATTAAACAAGGATCTCTCAGTTCTGGATTGACCTTTTAACTTCCCAGCGCTGGTGGCTGATACCTGCACGCGTGCATCTCGCTGTCTGCATTCCACGCCTTTGTCCACCAACACCCGGAAAACCGCTAAGGCTGGGGATCCCCGCCTCTGCTGACCAGTACCTGATGGCGGCACGCTCTGGGGCAAGGTTTTCCTCATCTCTGACCTGAACCTGCCAGTTTGTGGCCATGTCCACTCCTTGTTTCATCTGCCACGGCCGTCCCCCCCCTCCTCCATCTGAACCACGAACAGACAAAACCACCCGGGCACAGGGGTCACCCCTCGCCATTCTGCACTGCTTCGGTGGGTGATGGACCACTTTGCACCTCCCCTGGGCCGCCTGGCCCTGGTGGCACTGGGAAGGGCTGTCACCACGAGACATGTTTGCGGCAGGCGGCCTTCGAGGTGGCCTCCGTGGCTGTAACTCTGCAGGGTGGCTCTCGGGAGCTCACAGCTTGGCAGTCCATGGGGAGCCCCGGCACAAGGCATGGCATGCCCCGAGCCCTTCCCTTGTTTGTGCTTACAGATGCGCTGCTGAGCGGCGCTTATCTGCAACAGCCAAGGAAACCTGAGGCTTGAGTCAAAGCCTCAGGCAGAGCGCTATGGTTGGGTTTGCCCCGTCAGAAGTCCTCCCAGCACTGGCTGCAGTCCCTACACAGAAAAATAAAACAACCAAGTGGTTCTGCACTCAAGATGCTGGCTAGCAGCCATCTTGCCCAGGAATTGCATTGACAGATTGGCACAAACCTTGGCCTGCCAGTTCTCCTCGAGATTTTTCCTTTCATTGCTACCTTGCTGAGATCATTTTTCACTTTTCCCCCTTCTAAGTGGTCTCCACTGCTACCCCAGCCTTATCTTAAGCTGTCAGATTCAAGGTGACCCTGGGCAGGGCTCTCTGGCAGCTTGTCACTGGCTGTCACATCCTCGCAAGCTGCTGGGTCTCTGCTCCCAGCCTGTGTGTTGGTATTTGCTGTGCACGCTGCAGCGGTGCTCAGGATCCTCACGGTGGCTGGTGTTAGACACGGACGGCACCTGGTGACCTTTGCTGAAGCTCAAGGCAGTGCTCGGGTCTGAGCTGTGCTCGGCAGCCAGGCCCTTCCCCTGTCCCGGGGTGGATTTGCAGCCTCAAGCTGACAGCACCCAATTTGCACCCACAGGTTTGTGGCATCTGTGGCTTTCTGGGAACACGTTGTCATGGCAAACAACCAGCTCCTCCGATTCCCCTTGCTAGGGCAGGGAAGGAACTTGATATCTGCCAGACTGAGCCCACCTGGACAGATAAAAAACTACTACCACCATACAAGCAGAATCAAGCTCTCAGTTTGTGGTCAGAGCTGCAAATAAGCAGGCATAAAACCAGGACAGGTCTAACACTGGGCCCTGAGCTATTCCTCCACCTCCTCAAGTAACCTGGCTGGGGGGGTATCGTTGCCCAAACTACCCTGAAAGCCAGACAGGGGCTCCCTGCCCACCCCGAGACATTTTCTGATCTGCCTAGCAGAAGGGCGAGCCAGCCCTGCATGCTTACGGCTGTGCAACCATGCACTTTGCTTTCTGTGAAGCTGCAGCATCCCTGGTCCGCAAGCAGAGTTTCCAGCTCTCCTCAAGTCAGGAGAGTATTTCCATGAGAGTAAGCTCCCGGCCACATCCAACATGGGTGTAGGGACAGGAGCAAGGGGAGGGTTTCACAGAGAAGGCAGGATGAGAGAACGGAGGGCTCCAACTCAGAAGTCAGGATTAACCACATCTCCAATAGCTTCCCCATGGAGAAGCTCCTGCAGCTCCTATCGCACTCCTGCGGTGCCCCCAGTAGCACCCCCCACCCCCAGCGGGACAGGAGCTCTTCCCCGCCCGAAGCAGCAGATCCTGCAGAACGGGCATGCGCGATGAGCAGTGCTGAAGAACAGAATCAACTTCAAGGACAGGCAATACCAGCAGCGCAGCTGGGGAGGACGTACAGCCAAAGCTCTCCCCCGAGATATCGCACTACACAACAGGAAGATAATTTTACATAACTAAAACCTACTAGCCCCCAGTACAGAGAAGGAGCTGGTAATTGCCCACTCAGCCATCCCAAACAGCCCCCTCACTGCTGAGGAGCTGTGAGGCACTCGGGGACCCACACAGGGCTGAGAATGGGATCCGGGCAGGCGCCAGCCATGCTCTGCCGTAGCTGCACTGGGCCTGAGAGGCCAGACCCGCACCAGCACGTTCCAGTAAAGCTACGGAGGGGGGCCGGGACAGAGCCACAGTCTGGAGCTTTGCTCAGAGCGGCATTAAAATGCATGAGCTGTGCTAGTCCTAATGATGAGCAGAGCTGTCAAACAAGGAGCTTGTCCCAGCTAATTATCTCTAACGAGGGCAGAGTGTCAGGGTCCCCGAGGAGCTGGGCAGCAGCTTTCCATTCAGCTCAGTTGCAGAAGAGGAAGAAGATAAGGAAATGTCATTGTGCTGGCCTAGCTACAAAATCATTAATTAGGCAAACGTGACCTTCGGTGCCAGTTTGCTCTTGAGAACCCGGACTTGCTGGAGCTGAGACACACAGGCAGGCTGGAAACATCCCAGCTTTTGCCACCCACGCTGTCCCCTGCAGTGCTGAGCCTCCTGCCCCCATGCAGAGACAGCACAGCCCCAGTCTGGCAGCCCCTGACCAACCAGCCCCACCAGCCCAGGGCTGCACAGCCGTGCCACACTCACCTGGGGGCTCAAATACCTCTTGCGAGAGCTGCAAGCCATTCCCTGGCCCAAAAAGCAGCAGAGAAGTCTGGTCTTCCTGAAATGCCACCATTTATGTCACGTTCACCTCGACCACCTCCCTCATCCCCAGCCACCTAGCACAGCCCTGCAGGGGCTCTGTGCCCACCCAGCAACCACCCCCGCAGCACCTCTCTCCCAAATCTTTATGGCAGATGTTAAGGCACTGAGAATTTCTGCTCCCTTGTGGTTCTACTCCATTCCAGTGCAGAGGGCACCAGCCACACACTGCTCTACAAGCCCGGTTTCTCTCTTATCATGGGTCCTGTGGCTCAGAAACCAAGACTGTACACTTGCCCTTATGTGCTGCATACGGGGAGCATGTCTCATCCCAAGGCGAGGTTAAGGCAAAGTCTCTTCCTGGGGCGACAATCCAGAGATGCGGCTCATGCGAGGTCCATCCTGCAAGCTCTGTGCTTGTCCCTCCCCTCAGAGCTGAAGGGAAAGGGAGGAGAGGCTGCTTTTTCTCCAGCCAGAAACCCACTGCAGCACCACAAAGCTTACAGACGACACCAGTGGCACACAGCGCTGTTCACTAGCACTTAATTCTGGTAAGTGCTTTTCAGTCCCTTGTTGCCAGACAGAAGCAAAGGCTTGAACACCCACTTCAGCTACATTTTTACAAAATAAAAGATTTAAAAATCACCTACTTCAAACAGAAACAGTGCTGGAACCCAAGGGTGAGCTGTACAGCCATCGACTGTGGATGGGGAGCTCAGCCCCACCTGCTGGCAGGCACCGCCTGAGGCAGGGGTTTGTGGTCAGGCTTTTGGGGCACAATCGTCTCTGCTGCAGAAGGCTGGGGACTGATCCAAGTTACACCACCATGTCTTAGAGTCCCTGCTATAATACACTAACGAGCAATGAGTATCACAGGAAAGTTTACTGATATTCCCAAAATGCATATTTCATTTTATATAGTGATCAAGCTCTCAACAGCAGCCAACTACTTGTACAGGTAGAACCACATTAAGTCAGTCTTACAAGAACGCTTTCAGAGGCCACAGGACAGAAATTCCTTCCTCAGCCCACAGGAATGGTTCCTCACTGAATTTAGGCTGTCATTAGACTTCGATAACTGCAACATGCTCCTGGGCATGCTCTTCATGTGGCCCCCTCCACACAACGTGGTTCAGACAGAAGACTCCCTGAACCCCACAGCTTGATCTGCAGCAGGGGGTTTGCTCCAAAGGTTTCTTTCCTTCTACTGCTTCTGCAGTGCCTGTTCTTTCAGTTGGTTGACGAGCTCTTCAGCATACACCTTAAAGAGCGGGACAGGGTCCTGAAACAAAGCAGAGGATAAACCACTTAAAAGGAGTGAACCTGAGCAGCAGCAAGGGGTGAAGTCTAACGGAGAGCCCAGGGAGCCAGTGCTGTGGGAGTGTTAACAGTTAAACCAGAGGAAGGTGGGCCTGTTTTTTTTCCGTGGCTGAACAAGACAACCTGCTGTGCTACTCCTCCAGACACAGCTGCTGCTCAGCTCTATAACCTTGCCTCAAAGACGCAGGCACCTGTGTGGAACATTCACCAGCTCTCCCAGTTCTGCCTGCATTCAAGAATCACCAGTAGCTCCCAGGGATCCTTTTTCTTCTACAAAAAGCTTGCCTCCCTCCTCACATTGCCCTAAATCAGAGCTGTACTGAAGCAGGTTGGGTGAACATGCTCCTCGAAGAAGCTGGACCCCACAGGGTTGAGGGCCCAGCACCGCCTCATGCAGTCAGCGCTCCTGACCTTTCCATCCCTGCTGCAGCCACGACGGGAGCCAACAGGTCTGGGGGACACGTCACCAACGCACCCCATCCCCCAGGAAGCCCTTTTGCCCCAGCAGCTCTCTGGGGAACCCTGCTCTGCATATTGCTTCTAACAAGTGAGATGTGGTGACAGAGGGTCACAAACTGAGCTCATATCCACATGTCCGAAAGCACAGGAGTATAGCAGAAGGCAACCAAAGGCAAAGATATTCACGCAACGGGGCAGGAGTTATGAGCCATCCCCCTAAATCTCTCTCACCTAACTGGGGGATCTGGTTTTACAATGTGCTTTAACTCAGCCCCATGTTTTGGGCACCCAAATTTAACTGGGCTCACGTGGCTGCTCGGGAGTTTTGGAGCACCACTTCTACCGCTCAGGAGTGCTCAGATCAGCTGGATGTCCAGCCTGATGCAGCTAAGACACCTCGGCGCTAAGCACTGCCTCAGGAACTCACCTTTTTTTCTAGGAGCCTCTGTTTTTCTATTGCTTCTTCTAAACTCAAGCCAACCCATTCAGCTTCCTCTTCTGGGATCGCAAATTCCTGTGATAAAAGAAGGAACGGGTGGTACAGTCTTTCCAGGTGACTAAGATGCAAATCTTCTCTATGCCCAACTCACACAAACAGGTGATCCAGTAGGAATGTTACTACGGACAAATCTTAAACCACTGTTCCCTCATTGCTGGCAACCAAAGTCCACTTCCCTTTCTCGTTTTCCCTTTGCGAGGGTCCTGCTTTCTCTGATCAGTCATGCCCACTGCTGCGCCTCTCCTTTCTGTAGTTCTGCAGCTGTTTCTCAGCACAGCTCCATGGACTGTAGAGCTGGTGGTGTTTCTATGCTGGCAACCATCACCAGCTGCACAAAACGGAAGTGCACACAGGCCGTCTGGGCTCCTCGCTGCAGAATCAGTACAAATTCTCATTGCTGTTGGCAGTGCCAGCTCCTACCAGTGCTTAATGCAGACCCTCACTGACCTCGATCACAGTAAAATACAGGCTTTTGTCTTCCTAAATGATCAGTACAGAAATTAGCAGCCCACAGACAGACAAGAAAAACCTGACAAACGATGTTTAGATCTTCTCTGCCCATACTCTTAACCCTAAACGCGGTTTGTGCCACAACAGGGTGATTAGGGCATTATCAGTCTGGACAACCAGCAAACATCGCTGCAGACACCAGGGCAGGGACTGCAGGTCAGGCACCCACCTGGTACTTGTTATAGATCGCCTCTCTTTTGGCTGGATCATCAGGATGCAGTTTAGGATCCCGCCGTGCGAGTCGCAGCAGCATCGTTCGCTTCAAATCCATCCCGAGCTTTGAGCACATATCGGCTTTTGGAGTCTAGAGAAATTAAGTCTGATGTCAAACTGCACCAAGAGACCAGCTGCTAGAGAACACACAAGTCTATCAGCGCGTGGACAACACTGGCAGTTTATCCGCACGCTGTAGAAGCTCTCAGGACACACGTTATGAAAGGGGAACGATCCCTTGGATCTCTTCTGGAGCTAATTTGATCACAGTTCTGATCTTTAATACCAAGGGCTCTGATCAAGGGGGTATTAAAGGCCGTAAGCCTTAGACCTGCACCAACACATTAACAGCAGCAGATGCCTGCAGGCCCCTGAGCAAGGCCAGCGTGGGCGCAGACCTGCCGCGCTGAGGCTGCTGCACAGTGAATCCTGCTGGCCCCGCCGGGTGCAGGGCCTTACCTTGAGGATGTAGAAGTCGAAGCCGTAGGCCTCGTCGATGAGGTCCAGCGTCCGCATGGTGACGGTGATGGTCAGCGTGGCGTCCAGGATCTCGCTGTAGAACTGCCGCTCGAAGAGCTGCGGCTTCCACGTCTTGGGCAGCCTGGTGGAGAGCTGGGCAGGGCCCGGCGGTCAGGGCCCGCGGACGCCGCCTTCCCCGGGGTTCGCCGCTGCCCGCCAAAACGGGCTGAGGCTGCACCAGGGGCTGGGCGGGCTGCCCAACACACGGCCCCGTGCCGCTGGGGGAGGGGGGAGGCTGGTGCCCGGGGGGCCCGGGGGGCCCGGGGGGCCCCCCCCGGCCCCCCCCCGGGGCCCCCCCCGCGCCCCGCCCGGAGCCGGCGCCGGCCACGTCCCGGCGGGCAGCGGGAGCAGCC